ATCAGGCCCTCTCCAAGTACTCTTTCAAGCTGTCCTGGGCCCCATGGCGAATGGGAATGGACCATCACACCCATAGGTTGGTTCAGAGTATCCAGGCCCTAACCCCAGCCCTGGTCCACTCCCCTGAGTGCTTCCCACTGCCACGGTGAAGCAAATCACCAGGGTGAGTGCCGAGGGGCCAATACTTGCTGCCAGCTCATATCAGGCCCTCTCCAAGTACTCTTTCAAGCTGTCCTGGGCCCCATGGCGAATGGGAATGGACCATCACACCCATAGGTTGGTTGTGGCAGCTGCTGTAGGGCTCCCCTACAGCAAGGGGGTAGCCACCTTGAATTGTCCTATGGACAGGATGGCTCTAAGAACTGTACAGAGTATTCCATATGAGGTCTTACAAGTGCCTTAGACAATGGCATTAAAAATGCCTCATCCTTGAATGACATTTGCCCTTTTCACAACTGCATCATACTGGTGTCTCAGACATCCTGCTGTCTTGCACACCCAGGTCTCTCTTCTCTTCTGTACTTCCAACCTGATGCATTGTGTAGCAGAAATTCTTGTTACTAGAATCTAAAGTAGTTTTGTACTTTGCACTATTGAATTTCATTCCATTCCTGAATAATACTGTATTCTGATCCTCCTCTGTATTGATGATGCCTCCAACTTAGATTATCAGCAAATTTCATTAGCATACACCTGCTTTTTGTGCCAAGGCTATTAATAAAAATATTGAATAAGATTGGTCCCAAGACTGATCCTTGGAGAACTCCACTAGTAATCTTTCTCAACTGAGATAATTCAGCTTTCAGGACAACCTTCTCCTCTCTCAGCAATTTCTTATACATCTTACAATGCTTGTACTGGTTCCCATCTTTCCCAATTAATAATTTTTGGCTTGGCCCAATGTCAATGCTTTACTGGCGTCCAGGGCTATTCATTCTACTGCATTTCCCTTATCTTAAAAAAATGGCTATTTTTCTCAAAGAAGAAAATTAAGTTATCCTGGCATAATCTACCTTTAACAAACCCCTGTTATATTGCCCCTTTGTTACTATTTCATTACATTTTCTGCAATTTGTCCTAACCAAATTCCTGTTTTTTTAAATGATTATGGGTAACATCACTCTTAAGTATAGCGCTATTATGTCTGTTCATCTACCTGGTTTATTCATGAGTAATTTCTCTTTAAAAGCAATATTTCCCTTCCACAAAGGCCAATTTTTTCCACACACAAAAATCTCCAGATTTCCTAATCCTTGAAATAATATCTGACCATGATACAGGCACTGGACTTTTCCATTGTTTACCTAAATGAGGGATTTTGCTTGGGTTACAAAATAATTGAAACCAAAGACACTGAAGGCCTCTATCACAATCATTCCCAATGCTGAAACAGAAAATCCCCTGATCCTAAAAAAAACCAACCCAACCCAGACCACCTTTTAGATTTTGTTCTTGGAAATGTTTTGAGGTCACACACAATTTTGTTTGCTGATTCTGGCTGGGTGGATAACTTTTTAAAGATAGTTAGTCAAAAGCTAAAAAGCAGATTGTCCCTTCACTCCATTTCATCTGACCTTGAAAGAAAAAAACCCCCAAAACAGAAAAAACTTCTTGCAAAGCTTTCATTGAATCGTGGTCTCAAGGTAGCAATCAGATGTATAGTAATAGGGAACATGTAATCCATCAAGCATTCCTCTCCAGCAACTGGCAGGAAAGGGCATTTCTAGATCTGTTGAAACACTTCCTACATTAATAACAGCTGTGTCAAATGCTTGGATTGGCCCCTCTCCCCAGCAATATGATTCCAAAAATCCATCTGGTCAGTCTGAGTCCCCTTCACTGTGGGTAGGACTCTCTAAAAGTTAAAATTCATACAATTCAGATACGCTTAGATTGTTTTTGGCTACTTAGGGCACATTTACACTATGAAATATGGTTCATGGTCAAATCTAATATAATTGATTTCTGGGCATCCAATTTTGCAACATTGAAGGTCCGTGTCTTCACTGCAGGGAAGAATCAAATGTAGTCCAAAGTAGCACGTTCCCATTAAGAAGCCTGTTGTTGATTCAGAGAGCAATGCATTGTGGGTAGCTTTGCATTCTGGGCTATGCACTCGGTGCCCGCTGTGATTAAAACTGTGCAGCGAGTGGTTATGGTCCCTTGTTATCAGCATCCCATAATGCACTTGCCTAGTCCTCCCCTGTGGACACAGTGTAAAGCTGCTTCTGGTGCTGTAAGACAAGCTCAGACTGGTGGGATCGCATTGTGATGCAGAAATGGGAGGATCAGCAGTGGCTGCAAAACTTCCGAATGTGCAAGGCCACTTTCTTGGAACTTTGCAAATGACTTGTCCCTGTGCTGAGGCACCAGAATACTGGCATGAGACTCGCTGTAACCATGGAGAAGCATGTGGCAATAGCCCTCTGGAAGCTTATAACGCCAGACAGCTGCTGTTCAGTGGAGAATCAGTTCGGAGTGGGGAAATCTACAGCAGGGTCCGTTGTCATAGAAATAGCTAAGGCTATCTATACCATTCTGCTATGGAGGGTTGTGACTCTGGGAAACATTGGTATCCTAATGGATGGCTTTACCACAATGGGGTTACCTAACTGTGGTGGGTGACAGATGGAACACACATCCCCATCTTGGCCCCCAACTACCTTGTCATGGATTACATAAATCACTCGGGGTACTTCTCCATGGTACTGCAGGTGCTGATGGATCACAAAGGCCATTTTATTGACATCAACGTTGGATGGTCAGGAAAGGTACATGCCTTGTGCATTTTTAGGAACTCCTGCCTTTTCCAAAAGATGCAGAATGGCACTTGTTTCCCAAGCAGGAAAATCAGAATCAGAGAGGTGGAAATGCCTATTGTGATCCAGCCAACCCCTTGCTCCTGTGGTTCCTGAAGCCATACACTGGCAGCCTGGACCCCAGCAAGAAAAAGTTCAACAACAGGCTGAGCAAGTGCAGAATGGTGGCTGAATGTGCTTTTGGACATTTAAAGGGTAAGTTTAGGAGTCTCCTCACAGTTGGATTTCAGCAAACATTCCCCTTGTGGTGGCAACATGTTGTAGCTCCATAATCTGTGCAAGAGGAAGGGTGAGGTACTGCTGCAGAGCACCTAGTCAGAGTGGCTGTGTCTAGACTACAAAGAAAAGTCAGAAAAAGATATGCAAATTGTGAACCACAATTTGCATATCTTTTTCTGCTTTTCTTCCAAAAGAGGCTTTCCAACATTCGGCCCATCTACACTGGGCCAGATGTCGGGGAAAAAAGCCTCTTTAGGAAAATCCCTTCTTCCTTGTAGAATGAGGTTTACAGGGTTGCCAAAAAAATACGTCTGCTTTTCCAAAAAATTTTTCAGAAAAGCAGACATGTTCCTTGGATGCGACAGAACAGTCTAGACATACCCAGAGTTTGAGCAGCCGAACACCAGCGCAATAAGGAAAGCACAGCAAAGGGCAGTGCAAATTAAGGATGTTAAAATGCAGTTAATTGACTAGTCAACGGAATTTCTGTCGACTATTAGCTGTACATTTCAAAGGAGGAATGTGGAACTCCATGTACAGTCTGGGGCCAGCGGGGAGTCCCACCGAGTCTGGGCTGCACGCGGGTACCTGCTTTGAAATGCACATGAGTCCCCAGCGGGAGCTCTTGTGCATTTCAAAGCCGTGGAACCTATGGTCAGCTGAGGACTCCCCAACTACCCCCAGGCTCCAGACCCCAGGCTCCACTGCCCCCTTGAAATGCCCAGAGGCAGTGTTTCAAAGGGTATGTCTACACTGCCACCCTAGTTCGAACTAGGGTAGCTAATGTAGGCATTTGAAGTTGCAAATGAAGCCCGGGATATTTATATCCCGGGCTTCATTTGCAACTTCAAATGCCTACATTAGCTACCCTAGTTCGAACTAGGGTGGCAGTATAGACATAGCCAAAGGGGCAGTGGAGCCACGTGGAATGAGGAGTAACGGTAGTTCGAATTAGAAAGCGGGCACGGAGTCCGAACTACCGGGGCTTTAAAAATGGCAGTGCCCGGTAAGATGCAAATGAAGCCCGGGATATTTATATCCCGGGCTTCATTTGCAACTTCAAATGCCTACATTAGCTACCCTAGTTCGAACTAGGGTGGCAGTATAGACATAGCCAAAGGGGCAGTGGAGCCACGTGGAATGAGGAGTAACGGTAGTTCGAATTAGAAAGCGGGCACGGAGTCCGAACTACCGGGGCTTTAAAAATGGCAGTGCCCGGTAAGATGCAAATGAAGCCCGGGATATTTATATCCCGGGCTTCATTTGCAACTTCAAATGCCTACATTAGCTACCCTAGTTCGAACTAGGGTGGCAGTATAGACATAGCCAAAGGGGCAGTGGAGCGTGTCCACTGTGTCCAGCATGCGTGACATCTCAGAGAGAGTGCTAATAGGTTTCCTGCCTCCTTCTTCCAGGGTTGCCATGAGATATCAGTCTTCTCTGAATAACAGTGATTGGGAGTAGATGTTGACTGAATGTGACCAGAAACCTGGGTCTTATCTTGCAAAGCTTTGTGGTTCAATGATCTCGAAATAGCATTTTCCGCATTTCGACAGCAAGCCCGTTATTTTGAAATATAATGGGCCCACTCTTCTGATGTTCCTGTAAGCCTCATTCCATGAGGATTAAGGGATGTTTCAGAATAGTGATTTATATTGAAATTTGGTGCTGTGTAGAGAGTGCCAATTTTTGAAATAAGCTACTTTGAAATATACTCAATGTAAGCTACGCAATTTGCATAGCTCAAATTGCTTAGCTATTTCAAGCTATTGATGCAGTGTAGACATACCCACATACCCAACAACCTTGTGAGAATGATCAAAGGGTTCCTATTTGAGAACTTCATGGGGATGTACAGGCAAGACTCCTGTTTCATCTGCGGATACAGTAACACAGAGTGTGCTGCACATCACACCCCATTGCCTTGACCCACTTGCAGTTGGAAAAAGTTTGTGAACTCACCGGAATTGCTCTCCTGAGGTTGGTGCAGTGTGGGAGCCATCCTGGGAAGAAGGGAGAGGCTCTAGCATCATTACCAGCCCTTGTGGCATGCCTGTAGCCACGCTCCTCCTCCCCCTTTGCCACCATTCTGTCCCCCATGCCTGACTGTGGAATCCTGCCAAGACATACTGGGGAAGATGGTCGCACTTCCCACCCCCCAAATTGCATCCAGCTGCTTGTAGTAGCAGCATCTGTGAGATGCTGCACCGGACCATCTGCTTACCTCCTTCGCCTTCTGGTAGGATTGCATCAGGATTTTGATTCGGCACTGCTGGCTGTCCCTGGAATAGCCTTTAACCATCAGGAAGCATGCGATCTCCCCATAAACGTCCACATTCCTCTTGGTGGTTCGGAGCTTGAAGAGAATGGATTCATCTCTGCAAAGCAGTATAGGCACAAGTTCTGACCAGAGTGGGGAACTATGGGAGGCCTCCCAGAGGCCAATAGCCTCAACTTTTTCCCAGCACTGTGTTTGCACTAACATAAACTTGACCATGCAAGGTCGGAAATAGTGTTATTCCCTGTGAAAAGCAGGAGTACTGAAATTTACTTCAGTGGCCATTAGGGTCAATGCAACAGGCTTGGTAGTGTAGAATCATCATTTAGAAAATGGACTATATGTGACTAAATTTGATGTAAAGTGCTAGTGTAGACCAGGCCTTGTAAAAAACTGTAGAAGGGAACTACAGAAGTAAACAGTCATACAGTTCAAGTAGGTTTCTGGACCCAAACTCAACTTTTTGTGACACACCAGTTTTCCCATTATAAGTAGGACATTGTACAAATACCTTTGCAAAGTAGTCAGATATTTTTAACTAACAAAGACAAAATTTACAACAGAGCAAAGGGTCAGCATAGGCTTGTGTCCTCCTTGAATCCAACTTTTAAACTATTTTGCAAGCTTTTGTGGTATTTAAATGGTGCATTGACTTTGTGCTAGATTGCTGTAGCATGGGGTGCATTTAGGCCATTATGCTTTAGATCTTCAAAATAAGGTATTCAGATTAACTAATTAACCCAGGTAACCTTGCTAAACCTGAGGTCATGTCAAGGCTCCCTCCCCCAACCTAACACTATGCGTGCAAAGATGGGGGACCGGCTAACAGAATAAACTCTGCAAAAACTTGACTCTGTGATTCCCAGAGACAAACTTATTCAATCGCAGTCCCCCATAGATCCAAAAAAGAAAAAACAAGACTGGTTCCTCACTTCCACTACCCAAGTGATTCCAAGAAAATCAGGGAAGAGATCACTTGGGAAATCCCCTCTCTCAGGTAAAGCTCTCCCCCCTTCCCCAACCTCCCTTTTGCTTGGAGTTGGGAAAAACAGTGGGAATCCACACACCACAATGGACTCTTCCCTTGTAACTAGGCACTTAGACCTAAGGACACATCAACCAATACCAGTTAATCAGAATAAAAAGAAAACTTATCAAAACAAAACTACTGTCACGAGCATAGTAAATTGGGTAGGTGATCAATAACCACAATTTGATATATATACTCAGGGAAAGTCCTTAGGCTGTAATCCTTAGTTACAAAAGAGAAAAACAATTAGCCAGCTCAGACATGATTTCCAAAATCCCAACAAGGAAAACAATAAACCCTGACAGAGTATCTAAACTTACACATTTCAAGAAGTCTGTTCTGGGTGAGAAACCTCTCCAATCTCCCGCAATACCTGGGAGAAACTGCTCTGATCTCAAACAATGAAGAGAGCGAGAAAACCCCTTCTTTTCCAGTTTGAAATTCCTACCTGCATTGTTATTGGCTGATTGCCTGAACCCCGTACCTAGCAAAGGTATCGGCTGAGTTAACCCCTTAGTCACCAAGTGCTGGGCAGCACTCCTGATTATGATAGGTCAGCATTATTTTTTATAGGTTAGAAATGGGGCCACTATAACAGAGGTTCCAGCTGCAAGGGACTGTTGGAGGGTCCCGGACCCCTCTTTTCATTCCACTTGCTCACTCATGAAGAGCTAATCATAATCTGGCATCCTGTATATATGCTACAAAGCCTCCGTTATTTTCAGCTAATAATACAAAGTGTCCTGGCATTTCGTGTGCTCCTAGAGGTATGAATATAGCAATCAGCGTTCTTCTAGCTCCCTTCAAATTCAGTGATATTACCAAGTTATTATGCAATTTTATTCATCCAAGTTAAGTAGTGCTATTTATAATAACCTTGCACATGACCAAAACACACTCAAAAGAAGATTACTTTTCATCTTGCAAATGTTTGATGTATAATATCATAAACAGTGTGGCTTAACTAGAGTATAGTTTGAATGTCACTTAAGACCAGGTTTTCATTATAAACAGCCAGTTTTTCAATAGTTTTCATCATGGACATTTCATGGACATCAAAACTGAAACTTGGATGCAAGCTGTCAGCCCAGATGTTAGTTTTAGTCCAAAAAGTAAGTTAAAGCTTTTAAAGGTGCCATATGGTTTATTTATGTTGTGGTTTCAGATTTTTTTTTCAACAAAACATTAATTTTAAAATAATATTTTAAATTTCATATTCCATCTTGAGTCCACAGCAATGAAGAAGCAAAATATTAGTAATAGAATAACTCTAGTCTCAGAAGGCACATCTATACTCGCCATGCTGGAGATCAATATTCACAGCAATGAAGACGCAAAATATTAGTATTAGAATAACTCTAGTCTCAGAAGGCACATCTATACTCGCTATGCTGGAAATCAATATTCTTGCACTGGATTTAGCGGGTCTATTATAGACTCATAAATCAAATGCTGAGAGCATCTCCAACTGGCACCTGGACTCCTTGCGGTCACGAGGAGTAAGGGAAGCCGACAGGCGTTGCTATATAGCTGGAGTTGCAAAATTTAAGCTGACCTTCCAGGTCTAGCGTACACCTGGCCTGAGAAGAATCCAAACTAAGAGTAATGTGGCTGAAATACAGTTGTATGTTCAATTCATTTTATATATTAGATATAAAACTGAGTTGAGTCCCCAGAACCAGATGAGGAAATGGAGAGATTCCTATGTTGGACATAATATAATTATTATAACTAAGTATTACAAATCAGTACAACAAAACAGAAGATAAGATTCTTACCCACACAAGGGTCCCTGTACATCTGGTAAAAAAAAAGGTGAAAGCAGAATAAAGTTGCTGCTAAATACTTATTTGAACTGAAGGAAAATTTCCCTGGTGCAGAGAACAGCTTTAAAAGGTGTCTTTTGAGGACCCCCTTTTAAGTCCTGGCATAGGGAACATGCTAGGGTGGAAGGATGTGTCACAGGCTGCACACATGCAATGGAGATTTCAAGCAGTTACATAATCCAGAGGACAGTCATTGGATGTTGCCATATAACTACAGCCCTTACTGTCCAAGGTCAGCCCCTGGAATAGCTCAGGATAGGAAGAGAAAAGAAGTGGCTTAAAGCCTCAGAGGTGCAGCACAGTGTCTTCTCCAGAGTACCTATTCCAATGTAACAAACATGGTGAATATGACATAAAAACAATAAACTAACGTAATATCCACCAACAGGAAAACAGGATGACAACAGTGGATAAATTCTTGAGCCCAGATTCAGACCTTTGGCTGAGAATTATCTTACTCTTAAAGTCAAGTCAGTAGGTCTTCTCCAGAACATGAGCAATGTGACAAAATCTGGCCCACGGTAAGATACTACTTAATGTGAGAAAAGGTCGCCCTTATTTATTTAGCAGTAGCTATGTCACAGCCTAGGGCTTCACAATATTTAAAACAATATTTCTAAGTACAACATTTCAATACTCTGTAACACTCATTGAAATATTGTATATATTTCCCATACATATAATAAAAATCAAAGTAGCCCTCCTTTCCATAATAACCATACAAGTATAAAATATTCCAGTGGTTTAACTTGTTTGCTCACCAATGCCCAAGAAAAGATGGGCCTTACAGCACATTCTGGAGATATTAAATCTGAGTGCTGGTGAGGAAACAAATTCTATAGCTGAGGACTTTTCATAGAGAATGTCCTGCCAATTCCTTCCTCTCCTTTCAACCAGGTGAGTTCTAGCTACTTCCCACTGAATGGAAGGTCAAGCCAGTTCAGGTATTATGTACCTTTTTGTGAAAAAAGAGTCTCATTTAGTTTGGTCAGGGGTGGGCTTTGTAAGTCATAATTTTAAGACTTGGCCATAGTAGAGAATACCATGATTACTGTAATCCTGGTCAGTCAGGGTATGTCTACACTACCACCCTAGTTCGAACTAGGGTGGTTAATGTAGCCATTTGAAGTTTTTTTTTCTTTTCCCTAAGAATGACTGACAGGCTTAGCCTCCGAATCCGTACAGAGTACGGCCTTGGCGCTTCAATGCATAAACCACGTCCATAGCAGTCACCGTTTTCCGCTTTGCATGCTCGGTGTAAGTAACGGCATCTCGAATCATGTTCTCCAGGAAGACCTTCAGCACTCCCCGAGTCTCCTCGTAAATGAGACCCGAAATGCGCTTCACGCCCCCACAGTGCGCCAAACGGCGGATAGCTGGCTTCATAATACCCTGGATGTTATCTCTCAACACCTTCCTATGGCGCTTAGCGCCTCCTTTCCCGAGACCTTTACGTCCCTTGCCACGGCCAGACATGCTTGCTAGCTTTTCAGTCACAGCTCTGTGAGGGTATGTCTACACTACCACCCTAGTTCGAACTAGGATGGTTAATATAGTCATTCGAAGTTGCAAATGAAGCCCGGGATTTAAATATCCTGGGCTTCATTTGCATCTTGCCGGGCGCTGCCATTTTTAAATCCCCATTAGTGTGGACTCCGTGCCTGCGGCTACACATGGCATGGAGTAGGTAGTTCAAATTAGGCTTTCTAATTCGAACAACCGTTACTCCTTGTGGAACGAGATGTACCGGTAGTTCGAATTGGAAAGCCTAATTCGAACTACCTATTCCGTGTCGCGTGTAGCTGCGGGCACGGAGTCCACACTAACGGGGATTTAAAAATGGCAGCGCCCGGCAAGATGCAAATGAAGCCCGGGATATTTAAATCCCGGGCTTCATTTGCAACTTCGAATGACTACATTAACCACCCTAGTTCGAACTAGGGTGGTAGTGTAGACATACCCTCACAGACCTATTATAATGGACTTAATCTAGGTCTCCAAAGCTCCATTTTCAAAGATTGTGGACAAAACACATGTAAATATTTGCATGTGTGAAAAGTATAGTTAGATTTTCAAAAGCTGTAACTGTTAAGCAGTAGATTATAAAAATCCCATCTAGACTCATCTTCAGATGCTTGTCCTTGGACACACACATTTCTTTTGTAATTTTCCAAGTTTCAGGATTACCAAAAAGAGATAGTGACAAAGTTTCAGTACATGCTTTGCTCTTCAGCATGAAATTATTTCTCCGTCTCAATTTTTTTTTTCATACTAGGAAATCATCTTTTTTTTGTGGAATTACCAGTACCAATAAAAATTAATATACACTGCTACTCCTTTGTTACCATTCTCTGGGTGATCCCCTGCATCTGTAAAGAAAAAAGAGCATTCAATGAATTGGCAACATTCCACTGAATTCAGTTGGACCCTTACTGTGAAAAATGGCTATTCACAAAATGAAAGGATTATAAAATTGAATCTATACATAAAATAAAAAATGTTCATTGTAAATCATTTTGCCCTTTAAGAATTGTAATATCTGAATATTGCTTGTCTATATTGTTTCATAGGATCTCATTGTCCCTTTCTCTCTAAGAATATACTTTGCTATATTCAGTACTAGCAAATAACCCCAGGATAAAAATGTCATAATCTCATTACGAGTCAAGATTTAATAACCCATCTTTAACATTCTATGAAATGCAAATCTTTCTAGCCTTCAGAATTTAGCCGTATTCAACCCTTTATGTTAGGATGAGAATATGCAAGGCAGCTGTGTTAATTTATCTGGCTATCATGCAGATGTTGATGAAGAATAGTCTATATGCAATTTAGAGCATATTCTGTCACTAGTCTTCAAAATACAGTTGCCATAACCTATTGGGAAGGTCACCCCCCCCCCTTCATTATTTGATGAGAAATTTGGCATTAAGGCTTCTCTCCTTCCCCTACAACTGTCCTTTGGAAAATTTCTTTCATAGCTAACATACCAAAACTTTGAAACCCACTTTCTCATTTAAATAAATGTGGTGTCTGATCAAAAATGTTCATGTTCCCTGAAGAAATAGTTGTGTGTAGTACAAATGTTAACAGAATTTGATTTATTTCTAAAGTCTGGATTTCCATTGTGACCCAAAATGAGAAGTAGAGGGTTCTCCTACTTAGTTATTTTTCTCCTCAGTAAAAAGTTTCTAGTGCAAGGAAAATGAAGTAGTTGTTATATCTATAAAACAAGAGTTTGCGTACAGGATAAGATAATATGACCAATAGAAAAATTTTGTCCACAGTGCCTGTGGAAAAATTCAGTTTTATTAACTTTGGAATGGTCTAAGTCTCTGGCATCTGCAGGTGTGCAGTCTTCATATCATCATTCCATTTTTCTTTCCCTTCCCAGAAGGTGGTGAGGTATGCAACATTACCTCAGTAGAACTCCTTCCACCCTTGCTCCCTGTGAAAGGGGCCCCCAGAAATTTGGAGATGGGCAGTGGAGGGGGGAGGAAGAGCATGGAACTGATTCTGGCTCTCACTTGCAAAACCATCACACATTTCTGCATAGAATTCCAGGAGAGAGTTGGTATAGCTCAGAGCTTTATCAACCAGTTTGTCTTTTTCATTTCTGCTAATGATCATCCTCTGGGACCCCTATCTAATTGTTACCTGCTTCCTGAGGAAGCCATATTGCCAGGGAGAAGGGGACTAGTGGAGTAACACGGTCGTCTTCCTAGTCTATAGGCACCAAATCCCCCAGGGTATGTCTACACTGCCACCCTAGTTCGAACTAGGGTGGCTAATGTAGGTATTCGAAATTGCAAATGAAGCCTGGGATATAAATATCCTGGCTTCATTTGCATCTTGCCAGGCGCCGCCATTTTTAAATCCCCCTTAGTGCTGACTCCGTGCCCGCGGCTACACGTGGCACGGAGTAGGTAGTTCAAATTAGGCTCTCTAATTCGAACTACCGGTACACCTCGTTCCACAAGGAGTAACGGTAATTCGAATTAGAGAGCCTAATTCGAACTACCTACTCCATGCCGCGTGTAGCCGTGGGCACGGAGTCCGCACTAAGGGGGATTTAAAAATGGTGGCGCACGGCAAGATGCAAATGAAGCCCGGGATATTTATATCCCAGGCTTCATTTGCAATTTCGAATACCTACATTAGCCACCCTAGTTCAAACTAGGGTGGCAGTGTAGACATACCCCCAGAGAACATGAATTACAGTAAACATGGTGAGGTGGAACTCAGTTTTCCCGTCCCTCAGGAATCTCTTTTGTGGATTTCTCCACAGAAGGGAAGATTTAACCTTACTTTATCAATACTAATATAGATTAATGGATTCCATGGTCAGAAGGGATCACTGATCACCTATCTAACTTCCTGTATACCTCTGGCCATAGAACTAGAGTGGGCAATAAAATGGCAGTGTTCACTGGTAGGCCACCAGCGCTATATTTACCTGTGCATCCCTAAGTATGGGCAATTGCAGCTCCCGTTGGCTATGGATTACAATTCAAAAACATTTGAATTTGTCTTGTTTCAACCACCAGCCATTAGATCATGTTGCAGCTTTTGTTGCTACATGGAATAGTCCATTATTAAATATTTGTTCCCCATGTAGACATTTTTTGGTTGCAGTCTAGTCAGTCCTAACCTTCTCTTTGTTAGATATTCAAAGAGACCAATCCAATTAACTTAACTGCAAGACACGTTTTCTAATCTTTTCATCAGTTTCATGGCTTTTCTGAACCCTCTCCAGTTTATCAGCATCTATCTAAAATTGTGGGCACCAGAACTGGACACAGTATTCCAGCTGTAATTGCAGCAATGCCAAATATAGAGGTAAAATAAGTTCACTGCTCCTATTTAAGATTCCCTTGTTTATGCATTCCAGAATCTCCTTAGCTCTTTTCACTACTGCATTACATGGGGAGCTCATGTTCAGCTGATTATCCACCACAACCCCCAAATATTTTTCAGAGTCCTCCATCCTGTAAGTACAGTCTACTTTCTTTGTTGCCAGAGATCCTGTCAAGTTCAGAGATCTAAAATTACCCAGGTCTTGCCATTTACCTTTATTAAAAATAGTGCTCCAAGAGTAAATGAAAATCACCATTAATGGTACAGGAAGCTCTTCAACCAGCACTTTTAAAACTCTTGAATGAAAGTTATCTGAACCCACTGATTTTAAAATGTCTGATTTTAGTAGCTTCTGTTTAACATCCTCCAGAGACAGTAGTGGAATAGAAAAAGCATTATCACCACAATATAATGAGCCTATATCATCTGTTTTTTCCTAAAATACAATATAGAAAAAAATATTGAACACGTCTGCCTTTTCTGAATCATTATTGATAATTCTGCATTTTCATTTAGTATTGGAGAAATATTGTTAGGATTTTTTTTTGTTCCTAATATACTATAAAAACTTCTTATTTTCCTTAATTTTGCTGGCTATAGATTTCTCTTTGTGGCCCTTGGGAGTACCTTACCAATTTTCCACAATTCCTGACATTTGATTTATATCTATTACCTTCAGTTTCACTTCTCTTCTCTTATTACATTTCCCTCTCAGTCCCCTCTCTAACTAAATCAGGTCAATTTTTTAACTAGCATGACCTTCTTTTTCAAGTGTAGCTTTTGGAGCATCCAGTAGGGATGGGGAAAGCTCTCACAGAATTGAATGTTGCCCATGCTTGATTTTCTTTTTCTGGGGGACAGTGGCCCCTAGTAGACAAAAAGCTTCCCCACCCTTATAGGAAAGGGTTCTTAAATGATTCCTAATTATCATTCATATTTTTTCTGATTAAATTCTTCGTCCTAGCAGATTTGGTTCATAATTGTTTTCAGGTTAGTGAAACTGGCACTATTAAAGCACCAACATACTGATTTGGACTTAATTTTGTTTGCACATTATAAAAGTCATGCTCACTTGCACTTAATCTACCATTAATTTTTAGTTCCATGAACAATTCCTCTATATTAACTAGGACAAGGTCTAGTAACAATTCCCCCATGTTGGCAGTAACATTTTTTGAGTTAGAAAATTGTCAATTATTACATTTAGAAATTCCAATGAGGTTTTAGTATCAGCAGCATGAGGCCGCCAGGATGCATCATTCAAAAGTCCCCCATGATCAGGCATCTTTTTTCCTGCCCTTTATCAATAGGTGCATCAGGTGCCATGGCTGTTGGGTGCACATATCTCCCTGCCAGCCCCAACATGGAGCTGCTGTGGCAGTGGCCAGCAGGCAGGGGTGCTCATCCCCATCACAAGCAAGCCATGGGACTCCCCATGTACTGCCTCCACTCTGTGGGAGAGAGCAGCATGTGTGGCATGCCACAGAGCCTACATCTCCACCCCCAGGATACTTGGACAGCCAGGCATGAGGCGGCCTACCTTAACACCGCTTTCCAGATCAGCCCATCCCCAACTCCCTGCCAAACCCTAACCCCCCCAACACAGAGCTACCTCTTGCATCCCAAACCTCTCATCCCCAGCC